GAGTGCAGAATTCATGGTTCCGTCAATTATGGCAAGTCGCCCAGGTCCTGAAGCTGCAAAGCAGCCTCAGATCGTCACACTACCACCACCATGTTTGACTGTTAGTATGATGTTCTTTTTATGAAATGCTGTGTTGGTTTTACGCCAGATGTAACGGGACACACACCTTCCAAAAAGTTCAACTTTTGTCTCATCAGTCCACAGAATATTTGCCCAAAAGTCTTGGGGATAATCAAGAGATTTATTTGGCAAATGAGGGACAAGCCTTTGTGTTATTTTTGGTCAGCAGTGGCTTTTGCCTTGGAACTCTCCCATGGATGCCGTTTTTGCCCAGTCTCTTTCTTATTGTTGAATCATGAACACTGACCTTAATTGAGGCAAGTGAGACCTGCAGTTCTTTAGATGTTGTTCTGGGTTCTTTTATGACCTCTTGGATGAGTTGTCGTTGTGCTCTTGGAGTAATTTTGGTAGGCTGGCAACTCCTGGGAAGGTTCACCATTGTTCCAAGTTTTCTCAATTTGTGGATAATGGCTCTGACCATGGTTCGCTGGAGTCCCAAAGCCTTAAAAATGGCTTTACAATCCTTTCCAGACTGATACATGTTAACTGTTTTGATTCTAATCTGTTCTTGAATTAGTTTAGATCGCGGCATAATGTGTTGCTATTTAAGCGTGCTTCACTTTGTCAGACAGGTTCTATTTAAGTGATTTCTTGATTCAACAGGTCTGGCAGTAATCAGGCCTGGGTGTGGCTAGTGAAATTTAACTCAGCTTTCTAAAATAATATGGTTAATTGCAGTTCTTTCATGATTTAAGAGGAGGGGGCAATTAATTTTTCATGTAGGGCCATGTAGGTTTGGACAGCTTTTTTCCCTTAATAAATGAAATCATCATTTAAAAACTGCATTTTGTATTTACTTGCATTATCTTTGTGTAATATTAAAATTAGTTTGATGATCTGAATCTTTTAAGTGTGACAAATATGCAAACAATTTTAAAAACAGGAAGGGGGCAAAAACCTTTTCACACCACTGTATATATATATATATATATATATATATAAAATACTACATTTGTCTTCACCATCACACTTCAGAAAGGATCTAATAATCTTTTTTCTTGTGCAAGACATTAAGAAATGTTATAACATTTTTCTTTTTATTTATTTATTTCTTTTTTTTTTTTTTTTTTACAGAAGGTTCAACCCTTGTTGAGACTGTCTGAGTTCATGTGTGCTAACTGCTAAGCTACAGCTATGTCTAACCGAAGCATTTTGATTAGAGTCATTTGTCTATGATGTAAACCATCCTCTCTCAATGTGTTCTCCAATGTTGATTTACGATGACCCACATACCAAAACAGTGAGGATGACTAATGATGCTCAGGGAAGGAATGAGGCATCTTTTGTTTCTTCAGCCTCATTTTTCTTCTCTTTACATCGCTGCAGCCCTTCTTCCGTGCACAAATAAGCTCTTTCATATGGGTTCTATCTTAGTGAAATTTAACTCAGCTTTCTAAAATAATATGGTTAATTGCAGTTCTTTCATGATTTAAGAGGAGGGGGCAATTAATTTTTCATGTAGGGCCTTCTGGTAATATCATTGTACACAAAATGTGTGGCATGGCTAAATATCACAATTATGCAATTCCTGAATAATTTTAATTGTTATATACAGCCAAGAGGGTCCAGACCTCTGAAGTGGGTCATGTTATATAATTTATATCTAATATCTAAAATGACTCACAACCAAAAAAAAAAAAGGGGACACTAAAGCATATTCATGAATATGCCAGACATCTAAAAACCTCCAAGAGTTGCTCATAAATCTTTATAAAAGTATGGCTACATGTTCATCATCTTCTCTAGGACTCCAGGAACAATTGCAACGCTACGTCTAGATGTCTAAATCTTCCTCTCAGTATATCTGAAGGGGGAGTTAGTCCAAAGTGAGGTCAGTTGGACACATTGGATTGCCTTTTCCTTTCATGAGAGGAATACAATGGCTGAAATGACCACCACTGGATGACCTTTTCAACAGACCTCATGCCCTCATTTGATTGACATTTCTCTTTGACGGCAGGGGGCGGAGACGGCTTTTGGTGGGCAATGGGGAGGGCAGATTCTCCAGGGTAAATCCTCATCCACATCTCTTCCTTTGGACAACAAAGAGTGTGATGTTTTTGTCTGAAATAAGGAGCCAGATCCCTTGTGTTTTGATGAGTGGGCCACCTGGGACACACATCTCCATCATCGCGTCAAAAGATGAGAGAGAAAAAAGATGGGAAGAGAGGAGACAAGAGGAGGATGGAGGAGAAAGAAATCCTCCAAAGTAGCACAACCAGAAGCTTGAATGACAAGCTCAATGGAGACTGTTCAGCCAAGGGATCAAATCTCGTCTGTGTCATTAGACCAGCTTGTGTAACTAACATATGTTACATATGTGCCAAACTCATATGTTTCTCTTTGCATTCATGTTTTATATGATTACGAAAAACTTTTAAATCATCTTCATGAAAAGTTTGTATTTAATGAATTTTAAATTTCATTAAGGTCAGGTAAGGTAACAACATTTTCAAGTGTACAAATCTTTATTTTCTAAACTTAAAAAAGAAAATCACTGTAAAATTATTATTATTATTGTTGTTATTACAATTTAAACAGCATGTACACATCTTAATCTTTGGTTTCCAAAACCAATAAAATAAGGTTAAAATTATTAATATTTCAACAAATATCATGAATTATTCATTAATATATTAGGTTTGGGGAATTGTACTACATAATACGGTAGGCAGGTATTCAAGTCATTCCCTGTATGAATTGCATTTAAAAAAAAATTTTATTAGTTAAATAGTTTAAAAAAATTAGCAATTTAAATAGTTAAAAAAAGTTCACCCTTTGCGTTTCACAAAATAAAATAAAATACAAAGTCCTAGTTTTTGAACAGCCTGAAGGATGGGTGATAGGATTTATATTTTCGTGTGAAGTAATCCTTTAATATTTGCTCTTATCTGAGTTTCCCACTGCAGCTGATATCACTGATATCTCACACTTGTTGTTTGCTTTAGTGAGAAGGTGTGTGGTGCCATGCTGCGAACCCTGACATGCACAGGAAAACACCTTTAAATGAACCCTGGTCGTATGTCAATTTCCTTCTCTCTCCAAAACACAAATACGGGAACACAAACAAGATCTCACTGACTGGCTTTTGTTCCAAGTCCCGTTGTCAAAACCGACTCAGAATGGGAGAGACTACGGTGTTTATTTCTAATCCCGGGACTTAATAAAGTCACCAGTGGCACAGTATTCCAGTCATGCATAAGACATGGGAGATCAGCCCTCCTGACCGGGGACAAGCTGAAACTGTTAAAAAAGAAAAACCCTTCACAGTGCGGCCCGATACTGGATCACGAGGACCAGATGGATGTCAAGGGAACATCTGTTGCATTTCCACAGGGGCAAACCCTCTTCAACAGGTTGAGAAAGCCTGAGATTACTCTGCTGTTTGGACGGAGGGAGAGCAAAACATTCGGCGTTTGAGAAAACACCAACGAACCTGCTTTGTTATCCTTGTAAACAAAAAGGCTCCCCAATGAGTCATGCATTACCATTTCAGACTGAGAGGACTTAAATGATGAGGCGAGCTCGCCTTTGAGCAAACACAACTGGGAAAATGACTTTTAAGGGGATACTGAGCGAAAGCGGTTCCCCTCCTTCTCAAAAGTCATCCTAACAAAGATCACCACGCTCTGTTCCAAGTCTTTGTCAGTTGCTGGTGAATTCCTGCTAAGGAACCAAAAATAATCTCTGTCTAGACACAGCAAGTGTGAAACTGAGTCAAGCGAGAAAAATGATATGCAAAAGGAGTTAAGACTGGTTTTATAAAAGACATCCCATGTGGGAGGGTTTTAAGAGCGCTGGTGGCTTAAAAAGCAAGACTGAAGCCAAAAACAAAACAAAAAAGCTAGTATGTGATATGTTTGTCTCAGTACCTGCAAGGTGTCACGGTGTGTATCTAATTACATTACTGACAATCAGATAATGTCGCACAAAGTGGAGGAATGGGTCATTCAATAAGTTCCTGGCCTTAGGGCCAGTGCAATCGGTCTATGGGCCTCTTCGGAGGAGAGACAGGCCAATTCTAACAGGCCAAACTGGTTTTCTGCAGCGTTTCTGCTTCGAGGGTGGGCTCCATTAGCGTGACCAAAGGGAAGCAGAGCGCCCGAGAAAGAAGGGGCAAAGGGCTTTCTCTGAGAGCAGCTAGACAAGAGCAGCAGACTAGAGAGGAGCATCAGCCGTAGACAGAGGAAGAGCAGATCAAAGAATCGCAGGGGCAACCTGCGTGACAGACATTGTATTAAAGCAACGTGGGTAGTTTGAAAAGAGGTGAATAAAAAAATAAACCTGGCTGGATCAGGAACCCTGTCTGGGAATGTTAACTTCCCTTTTTTTAATCTACATCAGACTGCGAGCGCATTAAATTTGTGTTCAAGACAGAGATTAGATGGGGAAGCAATGATATGATGGACTCTTTGATTATTTTTCTGGGTTGCTTTGATTTTGCCGGGTGACGGTGGAACTATTGAAAAACTACTGGTTTAAAGCAGCGTATCAGATGCATTTTACACTTACATGGCCTTGTATGAAATTCAAAACAATCACTTAAAATCATGATATTTACAGTAATAATGACAACACTCAGATTGAATTGTAAAGTGGTGGTACTTCAAAATAAGGTTACAATAAATGTCATAGCTATGAACAATACTTTTAATGTATTTATTAATAAATATTTATGTATTATGATAATTTGATATAATACAAAGAATGTTAATATTTAAAATATTAATATCCACATACAAACACAACACATTTTGTAACATTTCAAGTTGTATAAATTAAGATTAATTTATTATAAACATAAATTTACAATAGTATCTGTTTAAATTAACATTCACCTAAATTAATAAATGCTGTAAAAAACAGTCCAATATGTAGTTCATGATACCTAATGCATTAACTAATGTTAATGAATTAAACCTTATAGTAAATGCATACTGCATGTACTGCAGTAAATTGTTACCCTGAGGATTGTAGGATGAGGGTACTGTATACAAAAGATCACATGACACATCTAACTGGTACATGGCCACACATTAAATTAAAGGCAGTACAAATATGTTGTTTTTTGTTTAAAAAAATAAGACAAGTGGCAATATGCGGGCAAACAAATGCAACCTAGTTAACACTATAAATATACAGAAACTACTCCTGTAAACTACTCTGAGACTCCTGTGAGACAAAATAACATCAGAGAGGTGCGCAGTCAGGAATCTAAATTTGTGGAGAGGAATTTGGATAACACCAGCAGGAAGCAGCGGGTTAGGCCGCAGAGCGTGGCTGGGCGAGGAGTGAGGTGGTAGACGGGGAGGAGTCTCCGCAGACAGTTGGAGGGCTTAAGCCTGGCGGACAGGGACTTGTCAAATGCAGCTGTTGCGGACACTGATTGATAGAGTTTGTATTCCAGCTCAAAGCTGAAAACAGCGTGGCCAGCAGTGCCAAGTAAATGGGTGTGTCGTCTTTTCAAACAACAAAATGTTAGGACAACATTCTAACATTCTCTACATGGAAGAAGGAATGATGAGTGCAATGGACACTAGCTAATCAAATAGCTTATTACGTTTACGAATAAGGGGGAAAAATCTGATCTCTTTAAAGGACTTTGGCTCACCTGCTACTAAATCAGCATATGTGTGGCCCTGAGCCCTCAGCTCTCAGCTCGTCAAAACATGTGGCTATTTGCATCTATGTCTCTAGTGGGTTATAAAACAATGACGGACAAGTCCAAAAAATTCCTTTTAGCAAACAACACTTCAAACCCACTCTTCACTTTGAAGTTTGATTGAATCATATCCTGCTTGGTAGCACCTCCTTCTCTTCCAAAAGGCTGATGAGTTGACTAAAACTCTCCTTCATAGCCTCCATGTTGTTCGTTGTGCTGCCTGCAAGAATCCATCGCTTTCCTCGGGCCAGTGGCTGCAATTCAAAGTACTTCTGTATCTGGAAAAAAAAGAGGAAATATTTATTCCATTATGACTGCTCTATAAAAATAGCACCAAGACAGTTTTGGTTTGTCTTTCAAAAAAGACCTTTATTGATTATTTTGCACGTCGGGTTTAATTTTGTGAGAATACAAGAGGCCACAGGAAAAATTCTCGTAAAAAAAACAAAAACAAAGACAAGGTAATAACTGAAATTAAAATTGAAATCCTATTCAAACAAATAACTGAAAACTGAAAGATTTATTTGACAGTTTTTATGTTTGGGATTAAAATGATTCTGTTATTTTGTCTTCATAGTTCCTATAATATAATATTTTATGATAAACCAAACATAAGCAATGGAAACATTTTGTTGCCAAATTCTAATTTTTTTATTTAATTATTTCAATTTCAATTTAGAATTACTTTTCGTAAATTAGGAAAAGTCATGAAATGTCTACCTGTGTATGCTTTTCAAGCTATTAAAATAGCATTAGTGTTTCTGAGACCCCAAAGGATATTTTACCATAAATCTAGCGTAGCGTTAGTTCTGGCAGGTCACGTTAGTCAAGCTCGCATCAGCTGACTCTCAGCTGATCCCCATCTACCTATCTAAGCATTCATATATAAGGTCCCTCAGTATTGTCAGCAGTTTTCGCATTGCTCAATAGCTAATAACCCTCCTCCATCCCCAGCTCCTCCTCTGTCAGTCAGGATTCAGCCTTCTGATTATCCTTTGAATCAGACTAATTCTAAAATGTGTACATAACATTATTGAACTTTAACGATATCTGCAATACATTTATGTTGGTTCTGTTCTGTTTACCCTGGGGGGGTTATCGCTGCTCTCCCTTGTCTCATCCATGCTAGGCTGCATGGATGCGCAGGGAGTTCTTGCCCAGAACAGAACCATACTGCCAATCCTAACTGTATGCTAATTGTCAATCATCTTTGACGATAGTGGTCCTGACAGAACAATAAGACTTCCTTTCTCTACACAAATCCTCAAAAAAAAAAAATCTATAAACAGTTTTTATACATTTCCAAAATGTAAAAAGCTTGGTATCTGCTTATTAGGTCAAAATGTTACTCACAGAACTGCAGAGATACATTAGTGTCCACTCTAACGTGAGGTTCATGTGCAGCAGGGAAACTATTTAGATTTAGTTAATAAGTACTTGATGTACTCAAAATCGTTAGTAACAACTGATTAAGAGGATCATATGTCAAAGCTATATGCTCTGAGCTTGATTATATTTTTATATAGCACAAGCAGATCAGAACCATCTGTTAAATGTGATCTATTCAAGTTATATCATACATCTTCTGCTCAAAAGGCACAGTATGACTAACTCTAAGTCATAGCAAGGATCATTTCAGCTTTGCAGGAGTCAATTGGGTTAATAAAAAATAACATTTACATAAGGAAAACATTTGATGTCCTTTCTAACCGATCTTGTATCACACTACAATCCTTTAAGGCACAAAAGTTTGGACTATTGACAGTACATATCAAAGCCCACAAAAGGAGATACAGCTTTTTTTTGTATTTGGCTCCAAAACTCTGGAATGGCTATCCTGATAATGCTCGGGGCTCCGACACACTCTATCAGGTTAAATCTACATTAAAGACACATCTCTTTAGCCAAACTGTCACATATTGCATCTCATTACCTAGCATTTCAGTTATGTCTGGAGAAACTCTAAATGCATGTGATCATCTCTGCCTGCAGCTTTATATCTCAGAATGTCCCTCCCAAAGTTACTTTAAAGAGACTTCACAAGCTCCAGTTTGCAGACGATGCCAAACATGGATGGAAAGATCCTTATTTCACAATCATTAAAATCACAAGCTGTATTTACTGCCTTAATAATTTATTGCCAGACCTTGGGAAAATATTAGGAGTGCCACAACAATGTGACGTTTAGTTCACATGCTTCACATTGCACACAGTCATTTCCACACTCACCACCATTTCATCAAGCTATACAGTATTTAAATAGTCTAAGAAGAAAAAAATTCTATGATATATTCATATTGAAAGGCATCACCAGCTTTTTTAGTTTGGAGTGACAAATCGTACCAGCATACTTTGAAGTCAAAATGTGTGCCTGCTCTGCAACATGCATACAGATTTGTAGATGTGTATATAATATTGTTATATGGCATTATTTTATTGCCAGAGGAGAAAGGGATACAAAGATCAACAGTGACTGTAAAGACATTTATAGTGTTACAAAGGATTTCTATTTCAAACAAATGACGTTCTTTTCTATTCACCATTGAATCCTAAAAAAAAATTATCACAGCTTCCACAAAAATATTAAGTAGAACAACTGTTTTCAATATTGAAAATAATAAATGTTTTGGTAACACTTTACTTAAAGACTTTATATACAATGCAATATAAAAGTAGTTTTATTGCATTAATTATGTATTGTAATGCACCTTATAATGCATTGGATGATCCCGTGAATAATTGTAACCACAGTTTTAATATATTATAATACTTATCTATTCGTTGTTACACCTTTAGAAAGTATAATGCAGTAAAACATACGAAAAACAAACCTTCAAATATTACAATGCATTTTAACTTTGGTTACAATTATATATATATAAGCATCAAATCAGCATATTAGAATGATTTCTGAAGGATCATGTAACACCGAAGACTGTAGTGATTGCTGCTGAAAATTCAGCTTTGCCATCACAGGAATCAGGGGTGGACTTAACCAATAAGCGAGGTAAGCGGCCGCTTAGGGCCCCAGGGGACCCCATCTGATTTTGGCTAAACATATTTGGCAAACGCTCCAGTGTGTATTTGTGTTCTGGAGAGCGTCAAATGTTCACTCACCGCTCAGTTTTTGTCAAGTGCTGAGCTCTGCAAGCTCGCGAATCCTCTCATTATAACAACGTATAGATACGATGTAAATAAGAGATTCATTGTGCAGTACAGCTTCATTAATTAATGGGACATCGTGAAATTGCGATGAACTGAAGTGAATGCCAGCTTTTAGTGATTGTAGAGGGAGCACTCTTTGCACATAGGCTGTATAATCCTGTCTGACTGTCTCAGAATGGATATATTAACCTCAGAGAAGAAAGTATCGTGTTTTGTGTCATGATTTTATTTGTCTTGATGTTTCAAAATGACTTGTTTTGTGCTTTTCCTATGCACACCTGCGCAAACTGCTGCGCACTCATACAAATGCACGAATGCGATGACTGGAGATTTTCGCTTCATATTAGATTAAATTTTTTATATGTTTCTTGGCAAACCCGTATGCCTTAAGAAAACTTGGAATACAGAACGAGTTGCTCGTAGATAAGATAATTTTATGACATTTTAATAGTTTTTGTAAAAAGATTGAAGAATCTTACAATTCATTAAATTCATTAAGTGCAAGCATTTTTTTAAGTCTTCTTTTGTGATCTGAAAAAATAAGCCTAAAAGTGCTTTAGAACAGCATCAGATTGACTAATTATTTACTTAAGTTGTGAAGAGGTACATAAACTATAAACTATGAGAAAGAGAGCGAGCAAAATAAGGGTTAGGCGTAAAAGAGCACATAGTTATTGTGTTGGGGCCCCATACCTGAAATTTGCTTTGACAAATTTGCTTAGGGCCCCCAAATCACTAAGTCTGCCCCTAACAGGAATAAATTACTTAGAAATAAATATAATAAAATATACAACAGTTTTTTAAATTGCAATAATATTTCATAATATTACTGTTTGTCCTGTATTTTTTTCAAATAAATACAGCCTTGGTGAACATAAGAGACTTCTTTCAAAAATACCATTTTGAAACCATGATATCTGTAGATACAGTAAGATAGTCATCTATTATCCACCATTTACCTTCCTCAAAACAAAAGAGATGCAGCATCAGATGTCCCTAACCAAATGAGATAACCTGCAAAGTGTTAGTAGATTAAAGTACAAGGAAATACAGTTCATGGGGCAGATAATGTCAGACCAGAGGATATGTTGCTACAACAAACAGATGCAACTATGTCTATCGTTTCGCAATCTGCAAGTATGATGGACACTCGCTGCCAAACTGATGATAACAGGCAGAAAGACCTGAAAAATTAAATCAAACTGTTCAGTGTGATGAGTCTTTTGTCCAACAAACTGTAAGTGAATCCTCCTCAAAAATAATCACAAATGAAGCACTTGTTTTTGCAGCGCAGGCATATAACTGTGCCATGTTGGGATTTGTTAGTGTCTGCTGTTTTCATGACGGCCTACTTCACTGAATCAGAAGATTGTGTCTCGTCTTTCCTCTTTAGGGGGCACTGAGCTTGTGCCTCGCTCATAGTGTAACAGGAGTTTAATGACAGATTAGGTCACTTCAACCCGGGGCCTGACCGACCCAAACAGTGTTAACAAATCCGTCTTGGTAAAAGGAGCTGCCCCGGGCCTGGCTTACAAGTCTGTCTGTCCGTCTGTCTGCAGCAGGCCCCCTTCTGGAGAACACATGGCTTGCACTGAATCTTTTAGTTTACGTAAATGAGGGAAACAAAAGTACAAGAACATCTTTCTTTCTCATAAATGAATAAAATTAAGTGTAAATTTTGACATTTTTTGGCTTCATTCACATTGGTTTGAAGTTGCATGACACCTTGGGCAAGCCTTGCACCACGGTGGCAGATGACTGTTGGGCTGACCACTGTGTCATACGGTCAAGCCTTCAGGTCACTGAGACCAATGAGAGGCCTAGCTGAACACAGAGAGCAGCTTACAGCTTTGAAAGTTTGCTGTGCTGTCTAGTGCCAGAAATGTATCTTAAAGTCACTATGGACAGAGTGAGAGAATTAAATCACCACTGTATTCAATCATGGCTCATCCCATTTAAATGTAGTGAAGCCATGTTGAGCAAATAAACTATTAGTGCCTTTTGACCTTATGTAAAGTAAATTGTATGACAATCAGAATCAGCTGGACTATAAATGTTGGGTTTAAGGCATTTTTCAACGTTTCTAGTTAAATACATTCATATAAATTTCAGT